CAGCAGCAATTGGAGGAAAAGAAAGGCATTTGCACTGTTCTTGACCTTGACCTTGACCTTGACCTCAATTTTTTGGATTTTCTGTTTCCTTTCTTTGCAGCAATCAAACCTAAACTAATTGGCTGGGGGTGTTCTTGTTGTCGTTGGGTGGGCTTCTGTTCTAGGGATTTCACCCCCAAATCATGAAATGGGACTAGCAATTGGTTATCAGGTAGGCTAGTTAGCGACAAAGAGAGGCTAATAGGAAATCAACGACACCGAAGGAGAGAAGAAGAAGATCAAGATCAAAATAACGGGGAAGGAATTGGCAATGAAAATTCTAGGGATTTCGGCCCCCAATTTTGTGGAATGGGACTAGAGATTGGCTGGGAAAGTTTAGGGATTGGGTGGGCTGCTGTTGGCGGAGAAGAAGATCTTGCACGACCGGTTGTTGAGCGGAGAACAAAAGGATCTTGCACAAAGAGAGACCAGCTATTGGGCGAAGAAGAAGAAGCAGATTTTGCACAGAGAAAGACCAGTTATTGGGGGAAGAAGAAGAAGCAGATTTTGCACAGAGAAAGACCAGCTATTGGGGGAAGAAGAAGAAGTAGATTTTGCATAGAGAAAGGGCAGCTATTGGGTAAAGAAAAAGAAGCAGATCTTGCATGGAGAAAGGTTGGCTATTGGGCGAAGAAGGAGAAGCAAATCTTGCATGGAGAAAGGCCGGCTGTTGGGCGGAGAAGAAGAAGAAGAACTTGCACGGAGAGAGGCCGACTGTTGCGCGGAGAAGTTGTAGGGATTGGGTGGGCTGCTGTTGGATGGAGAAGAAGACTTTGCACAGAAAAGGAGCAGATTGAAAATTTTAGGGATTTCACCCCCAAATCGTGGAGTGGGAAGGAAGAGGAGAGATGGGAGAAAAAGGAAAGATGTGGGATTACAACATGCCGTGTCCAAGAATGCTTTTTATTGTCAAGTTGGCATGCCACGTATTGAGCGTATAACGGATTATAACCGGTGTCATGTTAGACTTAACGGATGGTTAAGATTCCATCCAATTGCGTCCTTATTTGAGAGTTTGCATGAGTTTGAGACCTTGATTGAGCATAATAAATGTTGAGGACCTCAATTAAGAATTTGATAAAAGTTGGGGTCCTTTTCCAATACTTAAGCCCTTTTTAAATTTCTAATTTCTAACTTCACAAATAGGACTGTATTTTTGGTATAATACTCTTTTAATTATTAAACTGGCATTAAATAAACATATTTTGGACTTATCTTTTAAATTTTAATATTGAATAGAACTATATTTTTCTCAACTTCTTGACCAACTCATATATGTTATGAAAAATTAAGTATATAAAATTATAAATAAACTTGGTTTTAAAAATACACCATACATGTTAAAAGTTAAGTATTACAAGAAGTTGAGAAAATAAAAAAAGAAGAAAAAGATAGATGAAGTGAATTTAAATGATTATAAATATTAAAAAGTTGCCTTGCATTAGCAAAAATAATCGATATTTATTTTGTATAAATTATAAAAAAATTTGATAAAAACCAATAAAATTTTATACATATTATTATAATATAAAAATATAATACTTTTCATATTTCTTCTTTTAAAAACTCCATACACTATGTACACCTTGCGTAATGAGGCGGAAAATGCTGGTTAGGGATATAAGAAGGTGAGAAAAGGCACAGGGGACCCAGAAGTTGAAGGCAAAAACCAACATTTAGCCCTTTACCTTATAAAATTTGTAGGTTTTAATCCTTCATCTTATAATATGATATTTTTAGCTCTTTACCTTATAAATTTGATAGATTTTAGCCCCTCACCTTACAAAATTGGTAGGTTTTAACCTCTCACCTTATATTATGACATTTTAGTCTCTCACCTATACGAATCAAAGAAAATAACCCTCACCTAATATCAAGTTATAATATTCTGTTAATTCTGTTAACTGACTGTTAACATCCGTTTGCATTTCATTATAAAAAACATGAAATTTAAATTCAATTTTATTTGTTAGTTCCCTTAACGGAATGCTAACAGATGCTAACGATCAGTTAACAGAACTAACAGTCAGTTAACAAAACTAACAGTTAGCTAACAGAACTGACAATGAACTAATAGAACTAACAGATCATTATAACCTAATGTTAAGTGAAAGCTATTTTTTTCAATTCATATAGATAAGGGGTTAAAAGTGTCCTACTATAAGGTGAGGGGCTAAAACCTAACAATTTTGTAAGGTGAGGGGTTCAAACTTATCAACTTTGTAAGATAAAGGGTTAAAAGTGTCAAATTATAAGGTTATGGGCTAAAACTTATCAATTTTATAAGGTGAGAGGCTAAAATTAGTTTCAGCCGAAGTTAAAACCCTAGTGGGATGGCTGGAGGGTCCACAGTATACCGTCTACTCACTCTATTAGTACTCTTGGTTCATTTCTTAGGCTTTTCAGTTTCAACTTGAATTAACTAATTTCACCCGTAATTTCACCCCAAAAAAAGCAAAACTTGCATTAACTAATCTTAACAAAACACTGACATGTCAGAAAAATTCAGTAAAATAACTAATTAAAAGAGTTCACTTAATTTAATCCTGCCATATACTAAATTAATTCTCTACTTTTGTTCTCTTCCTCAGTTTGTCCTCCACTAGCTGTCGATTCTTGTTGTGCACGATTCTCCTTTGCCTTTGCCTCCTCATTTTCCCTCTTCTTCACCTTAAGAAATTGGATTAGGTCATTAAGCAGGGCGTGGAGATCATCATCATTTCTCATCACTAAGCCCTTAAACTTGCCCATTACAGG